CCTCAAGTTCTCCGCCTCATATGCTCCCTCAAGCCAACAGATTTTCACCCAGCTACTAGCTTCCTGCATGCAGCAACACGATTATATCTTCCCCTTCCTCACCTCTACCAAGTTTCTTCTAGCAAAGCACAGCCCTCCAAAGCCAGATTCCAGGAAAAGTCCCGCCCACCAATGAACATACTCAGCTTGGAGCCTCTAATTGCAGCCCAGGGTCAAAGTCCCAGGTTCACTCAGCCTAAAAGTGGTACTATGCCTCCTGCCTTACCATCCAAATAACTACTCCCACAGAGATGACTCTAGAGACCCTGCCCAGCCTTAATCTCCTGTGAATCTCTACAGAACCACTTAATGGCCCCTATCGAGATTACTTTAAACCTTACTTATTAAAAAGTAAAGGCCCTCTTCTTTCTCCATTTTCCATGGTCCTCTTCATGCCTGGCCATTCAAAACACAGCCTGGAGAACACAGCAGCTTCTCCCTGCTTCTGCATCTGCTACTATCTTGCTAATAGGTCCTTCTCTCACCTGTCCTTCTTCCACCTGGACAACTCCTGCTCGTTCCTAGAGGTTCAGCTTAGACACCCTGCTCTCTATAATGGCTTCCCCGAGAGTGAGCCTTCTCGGTGAAGAGCAGCCAAAACTTACCCCGTAAAAGCACGTGATACATGGACATGCCCCACTCCACCTTTCTCCCTCCCCATCACACACACTACACACTTGTGTGCTCCTCAAAGGCAGGGACCATGTACACCTCATCTTTGTACACTCAGGGCCTAGCCAGTTTCTGGTTCACTGTAAGCAGGCTCCAACCCCTGCTTTTACCCTGTTACCTGCCATTTTCGATCTCCCTGTCTTTTTTCTCTTTAATGCAGCAAACCTCTGGGCTAAGGGGGCTACCCAGTTCTCATGAGTTACACTCTGCCCGTGTACAAAATCCCCATCATTCCAGCATCTTCAGCATAGTTCTGAAATCAAATCCCATCTAACTCTTGCCCCATTCCCAATTAACCCAGACTGGCTCCACAGCAGGGTAAAGTAACATGTCATCACTAAGAAGCAAAAGTTCTGGGTTGTAATTTTGAGTACATCTCTAATTAGCTATATGACCTTGGGCAATGGTTAAAATAAAGGTGACAGCAGCACTAGGCCTCATTCTCAGGGGACCTTTGAGATTCAAATGGAATATCTGCTTGGAAAGTGTTTTATAAAGTGCAAAGCACTGTACAATCATAAAGGACATGATGAACAATTGTATCAAATTGAAGCCATTGACTATAAGATGTGCCATTATCAACTTAGAATGAACAACAACTGCACAACTATGGCACACTGTGATAAGACAACCACATTTCAGTGATATTAAAATGTGAAAAAAGTGTGTTTTAGAATTGATTCAATACAACTTATTTATCTCAATAAAATATAGGAACCTGCTATAAAATTTTCATATTTGCCAATGGCACATAATACGGATCCAGTAACCTATGTCAAGTAAATGAACAAGAACCAATTGATAATATTATTTTTCTTGGGGGGGGGCAACCATGGTGGGGAAATGGAGTCTCAGTCTGTCACCCAGGCTGGAGTACAATGGCGCAATCTCGGCCCACTGCAACCTCCTCCTCCCAGGTTCAAGCAATTCTCCTGCTTCAGTCTCCCAAGCAGCTGGTACTATAGGCACATGCCAGCACACCCGGCTAATTTTTGTATTTTTAGTAGACACGGGGTTTCATGATGTTGGCCAGCCTGGTCTTGAACTCCTCATCTCAGGTGATCTGCCGGCCTCGAGCCTCCCAAAGTGCTGGGATTAGAGGCGTGAGCCATCGCGCCCAGCCAATAATATTCTTAGGCCAAATTATCACCTCTTTCATTGGAATTGCGCAGCAGGAGGCTTCCCAATGCCAGTACCTCCCCTCTAAATCATGTCTCAGCATGCTCAAAACCCTCAAATGATGACTTTAAGATATATCCAAACTCCTTAGTCTGGCATTTTTAGGGCACTTTATAACTAAGTTTCCTCTCCCCTCCATCATTTCCTGGAACTGTCTTCACCAGAATGTGTCACTCCAAGAAAGATCCTACTCAAGTCCGGGCCATAGCAATCAGCTCATCAGCTCAACTTCTCCTCCCTCTGCGTACACTCAAAACCAACTCTAGGCCCATGCTACTTACAGAGAGCCTGCCTCTGAGGGGACTGCCTGACCCTAAGGCCCCAGGCTTTTATCCCTACCACTCAGATTAGGTAATCCCATCTGAAGTGCACATTCTAGACTATAAAGGTTTGGGTGTTGGGGTTGGGGGCTGCATTGCAGAAATTAAATGCAAAACTACATAGTCTTTTTTTTTTTTTTTTTTTGAGAGGGAGTCTCTGTCTGTCACCCAAGCGGGAGTGCAGTGGTGTGACCTCAGCTCACTGCAACCCCCGCCTCCTGGGTTCAAGCGATTCTCCTGCCTCAGCCTCCCGAGTAGCTGGGACTACAGGTGCCCGCCACCAAGCCCAGCTAACTTTTTGTATTTTTAGTAGAGACAGGGTTTTGCCATGTTGCCCCGGCTGGTTTCAAACTCCTGATCTCAGGCAATCCGCCCGCCTCGGCCTCCCAAAGTGCTGCGATTACAGGCGTGAGCCACCGTGCCTGGCCCACACACTTTTTCCTTTAACTGCCCCCTGGTGCTGGCAGGAACTGTGCAAGCAGAAAAACTGGTGACGAAGTAGAGAAAACCCTATTGGGTGTCCTAGCCCCCCACTGTCCACCATTATTGACCTTAGACTGTAGGTCTAGCACCCACCATTGTGGACCTTTACCTGTTCTTCTATCTATAAGAGTTGAGGCAGGGGGAGGATGGGAGAGGGAGTTGGATGATTTCTAAAGGTGCCATCCACACTTTCCCTTTCTTCACTTTAGGCTTCTTAAAATGCACATGTGCAGGGAAAGGTAAGCCATTAAGTCATTAACACCTTAGTGAGAGTGAATTTTACAGGAAAGGCAAGACATTAGAAAAAGGGGAAGGAATAGAAACAGAAAGGGGACTGAAAACACAGGCAAGTGAGTTTCGTACTAGTAAAAGTCCCAGAGAAGACCCTGAGTTCTCGCTGGTTGTTTTGTGTTGGGGGAGGGAAAGCAGTGGATCCCTTCTAAGGGAAAGGAAGCGGGAGAGATTTTTCAGTTCTCCTAGGACTCTGAGGTTCCAGAGGCTCTGCCCCGTCCAAGCACCCAGGCACAATTCCACTGATTAGCTCATCTCATGTCACAACCTCCCCCATCCCCAACTCCTTGCCTCCAACTAAAGAATATTTATACTTTCATCTCCATTTCCCACACTACTTAGTCTCCTCTGGCCCACAGTCCCCTCGAAGAGATGTCTTCCTCCAAGCCGCTAGCTGGCTTCAGGAAACTCCTCATCCTTCAAAAGCCCCATTAAGTGCAGGAGTCTCCAAAGGGCCGTCCCGGGGACCAGAAAATCAAACTCCTTCCCTGCAACTTCCTTTAACTTTGTCCATGCCTTTCCTCCAGCACTTGGCACTTTCTACCCTAGGCCAGGTTTGACTCCTAGGTTCCACAAAGTTCCTAGAGGGCAACGTCCAACACACCCAGCGCAGTGTCTGCCACACACAGGGTGCTAGAGAAATGCTTAGAGAAGGGAACTGAAGTTCGGAGTCAACTATTTGAATTATGGTTTGGCCTCTACTAAATAACTTCCGGGCGACCCTCCTTCTCTCTGGGCCTCAGCTGCCCCAACTGTAAAATGGGAGGACTTGGAGGACTGGGTCTAGGCCCTTTCCGCTGTGACAACTGTGATTCCGCGAAAGCTCTAAGCGGATGGGCGTGGCCCCGCCCCCTGGGCGCCCAGAAAAGTCCGGGCAGGGGGCGCGCAAGGCTCCAACCCCGCCTAGCCTGGGGTCGACGCTTTCGGAAAAACTCTGGGTCCCCCTCCCCCATGGCGTGCACCCCGTGATTGGGCCGCGGCCGGCACTTCCGCACAGCGGGCCAGGCCAGAGCAGGGCGCGCGCCCCGCGCTCCTGCCACCCCGGAGGCGCTCGCGCCGGGGGAGGGCTGGGGGTTCCCGAGGCGCCCGCGGGCGGAGGGTGAGGGGAAGGAAGGATTTGCAACAATACCTCAGGGAGGAGGCAGCCGGGGCAGCGGCGGCGGCGGCGGCAGCGGCGGCGGCGGCTGGAGGCGGAGGCAGAGACAGAGGAGGAGGTGCCCGGGCACTCCCCCTCCCATTGTCCCCAGCCCCGGACAGGCCCTGCCCCGCGCCCCACACTGGCCTCCTCCAGCGCGCCGCCCGCGCCCAGCGCCCCGCGCCCCGCGCCCCGCGCCCCGCGCCGTGCAGCCAGCCCTTACCTTGCAGCGCCCGGCTGTCCCCCGATCGCTAAAGCTACTTATCCCGGGAAAGCTCGCGCGGGACCCGGGAACGAACCCACAGACAAAAAGTGAAACTTCGGCAGGGCTGGAGCGGCTGCTGGTTGGTGCCTTTCCCCCTCCTTCCTCCCCACCGTCCCCACCCCCTCCCCTTGGTCTCCCGTGCGGTGCCCTGAGCGCTGGAGGCTGACGTCAGGGGCCTGAATTCCTGACTTTGCCTGCACGCATTTGTCCATGTAAGGTATGGGAAGGCGTGTGCCCGCGGAGCCGCCGCGCAGAGCTCGCCTGGCGGGGGAGGGGAAACCCGCAGCCGGCAGTGGCTTTGCCAAAAGGTGGGCGCACTGAGGGCATTGCATTTCCTGAGAGGAAGAGGAGGAGACGCGGGAATGCAGGGAGCTTGCAAAGGAGGAAGAGAAAGAGGGAGATGTGGAGACTTTACCCCTGCTAGAGGAAGAGGAAGGAGACGTAGGAGGAAGCGGCCGCGTCAGGGGGCTCCTGGAAAATGGAAAAGCCTGCGTCTACTATTAAGGCGTCAAATTAAGGCACTGAGCTTGAATGGAAGAGATCCAGCCATGAAATCCCCTTCCAAGATTTTCCTGGTGAGCCCCGCCCTGGATTCCCAGCAAGACTGAAAACTTACAAGGTGTCAGAGCTGGCAAAGACCAACTTCCAACCCGTCCGCTTGGCACGTGAGGAAACTGAAGCTCTCGGAAGAGAAATGACTTGTACAGGGTCGTCACTCAACAGATCGAGGAGCAGGCCCAGGCGCTCTGCCTCCCACTTGGGTTGCCGCCTCCAGGAAGGGCCCTGCCTTCCTTTTAGCCCTGAGCCTTGAAGCAGGTTAGATGTCCGCAGGCTGCGCGGACCACCCAGTGATTTCTACTGCTCTTGGCCCTGAGCCAGTTCCTGGAAGGTCCTGGTTGACAGTGAGCCCTGAATATCAATGACAATCAGTTGCTCCAGGGCAACTTCCTCTGTTCTGTGCTCAAATATATGAATCCCTGGAGTTTAACGTTTACTTCTGAGCCCCGCCCAGAAAGCTTACTCTGTGCTTATAGCTTCAAAAAAGTCTACGAACGGGATGAACTGGTTTGAATACAGACAATCCTGTTATTGGAAGGTTTGAGTTGAATTTTTTTCCCCCCCTCTGACATCTGTAAGGGTGAACGACGATGAGAACCACCACTTACTGTGTTAGGGGATTATGACGTGCAGCAGCCATTGCCTGGAAAGCACTCCATGCCCTGAGACTTCCTTTCCTTGTACTTCTCTCCTATTAATATCTAAAATCATCCCTCACGTTAGCGTATAATGAAAGCAGTCTCTCACCCGGCTATTGCATCTTCAGGTGAGTTAGATAGGACAAAGCGTAGTCCCCCGCTTTACACTTCAGGCAAAAACTTAAGGAACGTTACCGGCCCAGCACAAAATAACTGACTGCCGAAGCACCTGTCTTCCCCTCCTCCCATACGGGTCTCCTGACTGATCCCTTGATCTTTCCATACCTGGCCCTGACCTCTAGCAGGACATAATTCCATTCATAACTGTTGAGAGTCCACCATGAACTACCGATTCATAAAAACTCCAAAAAGTGGGTCTTCTGAGGATGGATTTTAGTGGGATTCTTTTGACCAGGAATTAAGGAAATAATGTAAAAACACATGTTATTGGATTTATTAAGCACCTTCCTTGTGCTTAATAAGTGTTTGAATTCAGACATTTCAGGGCTAAGACTACTTAACCTGTTCCTAACAACTATCTAATGTTCACATACAAAAATATGAACATGGTTGGGCGTGGTGGCTCACACCTGTAATTCCAGGACGCCGAGGCGGGCAAATCACCTGAGGTCAGGAGCTGGAGACCAGCCTGGCCAACATGGCAAAACCCTGTCTCTACTAAAAATACAAAAAATTAGCCAGGCGTGGTGGCGAGCGCCTGTAATCCCAGCTGCTCCGGAAGCTGAGGTAGGAGAATTGCTTGAACCTGGGAGGCAAAGGTTTTAGTGAGTCGAGATTGCGCCACTGCACTCCAGCCTGAGGGATAGAGCAAGACTCTGTCTTAAAAAAAAAAAAAAAAAAAAGAGAGAGAGATAAGGTCGAGAATAACCACTCATTCCACAGAATAATAAAGAATTTATCTCTTTGCAACTGACATAGTTTGAAATGGGAGATATGAGCTCTTAGAGAGATTTTTTTCTGGGGTTTTAAAAAGGTCAGATCCTATCAAAACACAGTTCACTCACTCAAACATTTCAGCATACTCACATTCTGAGTACTAGGGTTTACTATGAAAAGAATTCCAGTGTTACATGAAGTAAAAATGGATTATCTCAATTCTCATGGAATATAACGGGACTTGACCAGCATTTCCTTTTTTTTTCCTTCAGTAACCCACTTATAAAGAATAATAGGGTCCTAATGAGGATTAAGATTTAATAAAGTATAATTAGAGTTGTTCATTTCTTCCATCATACACATTGTAAGAGTACTGTGCTGGATCCAGAAATGCTACTAATTATGTTGAAAGTGCTGTATGGGTGTGTTGGGGAAGATCACTGTTTCTCCTCCTGAAATGTTTATGAATTGCTCAGGTGAGCGTGGTGAGCATGGTGTTAGCATGAACATCATATAAGATTAACTACAAAAGATAATTTTGACTCATGAGGAACTTCCCAGGAATATAACCACCCAAGTCATAATCTGGATGCTTAGTGAACCACATACAGCATTGTCAGTGCTAACCCCACCAAAAGCCTCATTCCCATTGACTGTTCCGGTTTCTTTCGTACTCTTACTTTTCTCAACCCCCTGTTACAACTTTCTGTGTGCATGGGGCTTGCACGAAATGGGAAGGTTGTATAAATTTGCACTCAGTGTTAGAAAAATACTGGTTTACCAATTCAGAGACTAAAAAAAGCACAGAATTTCAGGTGTAGTGTGGGGTCATTTGGTCCAAGGACAGCACACTGGTGGCCTAAAGGCTACCAGCAGCATCTTCATGGGTTCAGTAATAGCATAAAAGACTTTCAGGCAAGCTGGGCTTGGGTCCTGCCTTTCATCTGCATCCATTACAGTCCTGTACACATGGCCTTTGTGGAGCTCGTGCCAGTCCTTATTTTGGAGTGCCCAGCAATATTTTAAGGAGTTTTCATATACAATTCACTTAACTCTCACAAGACCCTTCTTAGGTTGGCATTATTATTTTTTTATTTTATCCATGAAGAAACTAAAGCCCAGGGAGTTTAAGTACTAGCTCTGTGTTAAGAGCTGAGTAAGCTCTTTTTATTATTATTATTATTATTATTATTGAGATGGAGTCTTGCTCTGTCGCCCAGGCTGGAGTGCAGTGGCACGATCTCTGCTCGCTGCAAGCTCCACCTCCTGGGTTCACGCCATTCTCCTGCCTCAGCCTCCTGAGTAGCCGGGACTACAGGCACCCACCACCAAGCCCGATTTTTTTTTTTTTTTTTTAAGTAGAGACGGAGTTTCACCATGTTAGCCAGGATGGTCTTGATCTCCTGACCTCGTGATCTGCCCTCGGCCTCCCAAAGTGCTGGAATTACAGGCGTGAGCCACCGCACCCGGCCCTGAGCTGAGTAAGCTCTTACTCAGCTGAGGGTAGGTAAGCTAAAATTCCACGCTGATCCCTGGCAAGCTGGCACCTCGCTCACCCACTGTCGAGTGACCATCTGCTCTCAGTTTGAACACTCCAGCATAGGGAACTTATGATCTCCTACAGCTGACCAAGAGGAAAAGTTCTGAAGAGGCTACTAGAAAAATAGTAAGAGGGCCATGGGTGATAGAAGGTAAATACCAATCTGCTGTTGCCTCTGAGAACCTAACACCCATCAGGCCAAATGCCTCTAGTATGGTTTGCACAGACCTTCATAATTTGGCACCTACTTGTTCCTTCAGCCTCATTTCTTCCAGGATTTTATGTGCCCCCACCCTCCACCCTGCTTCTAGTAGTTTTCCAAGCACATCTTACCTCTCCCTGCTTATCTCTGTTTGCACATCTTCCCTTTTCCCTCAGGAGTCCTCAGCCCTCTCTTTCAGATAACCTCAAGTGATGGGGCCTGAATGCAAGCAGACCAACAAAAGGAGCCCAGGCATTTGGAAGTAGCAATCAAGATTAGCATGGGGGCGGGGCGCGGTGGCTCACACCCGTAATTCCAGCACTTTGGAAGGCCTAGGCGGGCGGATCACCTGAGGTTGGGAGTTTGAGACCAGCCTGGCCAACAGGTGAAACCTCATCTCTACTAAAACTACAAAAATTAGACACACCTGGTGGTGCATGTTTATAACCCCACCTACTCTGGAGGCTGGGGCATAAGTATCGCTTGAACCTGGGAGGCGGTGGTTCCAGTGAGCCAAGATCACCCTCCTGCACTCTAGCTTGGTTGACAGAGCAAGACTGTGTCTCAATAAAAAAATAAAAAAATTTAAAAAAGACTAGCACAGAGAGGGACACAAGAGAGAAATGTTTATGGTCCTTGCCTTACCCTAAATTACTCTGCAAACTTTTCGCAAGTCATTTCCTCTCTATTCTCAGTTTCTTTATCTATTAAATTGGGTTCTTAGACTTGGTGGTCTCCAATATTCTCCCAGTTTTTCAGTTTGATGCTACATTCTACCCAGTGACCAAATTCATATTCCGAAAGCATAGTATGCTATGTCATACCACAAATCTTGTAAACGTTCCCGATATGGTTTGGCTGTGTCCCCACCCAAATCTCATCTTGAATTGCAGTTCCCATAATCCACACCTGTCATGGGAGGGACCAGGTGGAGATAGTTGAATCATAGGGGCGATTTTCCCCCTCCTGTTCTCGTGATAGTGAGTTAGTTCTCATGAGATCTGATGGTTTTTTAAGGGTCTTTCCCCTTCACTGAGCACTCATTCTTCTGCCTCCTGTTGCCACATGAAGAAGGACATGTTTGCTTCCTCTTCTGCCATGATTGTAAGTTTCTTGAGACCTCCCAGCCATGCTGAACTGTTGAGTCAATTAAACTTTTTTCCTTTATAAATTTCCCAGTCTTGAGTATGTCTTTATTAGCTGTGTGATAATGGACTGATAGCATTCAATAATATCAACCAAATTAAGTTCATACCCGGCAGCTTCCCCTTCCTTATTTCATGATCAAATCCTGATGGCCTTTCCAACTATAAGTTGTACCTCCAACACCCCCTCCTCCACCACACACATACACACACACGCCACTTCCTTTACTTCCTGCCTCCAGGCTTTTGCATGTTTAGTTTTCTCCTCCTGAACCTAAAAGACTTTCCAGGCCCATCTCCAAAACTGCAGATTCTACCTGTCCAGCCAACCCCCTCTCACAGAATCTCTACCCCATTGCCCATTCCTTCCAAACTCCCTCCATTAATATGAAAATAACTTCTCTATTTTCTCAAAAAGATGCCCATTTCATTATCCCAATGCATTACAATTTTTCATCAGTGAGTTTAATCTCCTCCATGCAAATATAGAATTGTTTGTATTAGTCTTCATGTCTTGTTCATTTCTCTTCCCCAGCAGCCAAGGCAGTACCTGGCACTTAAAACCAAATGTTATCCAGTAAGTGAGTGAATGAGTGAATCACTCTTTCACTCAATGTGGATAGAAAAGCAACACAATTGATGCTGTCCCTCTGGAAGATTGGTCATGTTTCTTTAGATCATGGCTCTGAGCAGGCATCAGAAGGGGCCAGGGGAAGAGACAGGGCTAATACTGGTCATTTGTTACAATGTGCTCTGTGTGCACTTTCTAGGCCTTCTGACGTTTACCATACATAAATTGTATAAATTTTCTGATAACATAGTTCTGCTATTAGAATAGACATTAAATTAAAACCATGGTTATTTTGCAACTTTATATAAACAAAATTCAAAAAGATACTTAAGGTCATCTTTTTTGAGAAATAACTAAGCCTAAGTGACAGTTTTAATATTTTATATATCCTTTTCTATAGTTGAGCATAGGTCTTTTCCAAGATTATAGTACCAGTGTCTTATGCAAACCAGGCCTCTGGGTAACAGTGACTCTAGCTCGGCCCAGTGAGCATCAGCCTTTGGAAAAGAGATTAAAAACTTAATTTGGTAAATAGTAGTACAGGCTTGTAGTAAATGAAACACTAAAGATAATAAAACAGTTTACAGACTGGGCGTGATGGCTCACACCTATAATCCCAGCACTATGGGAGGCCGAGGTGGGCAGATCACTTGAGGTCAGGAGGCCAGGAAGCCAACAAGGTGAAACCCCGTCTCTACTAAAATACAAAAGGTAGCCAGGTGTGGTGGTGGGCACCTGTAATCCCAACTACTCGGGAGGCTGAGGCAGGAGAATCACTTGAACCCAGTGGGCAGAGGTTGCAGTGAGCAGAGATCATGCCACTGCACTCCAGCCTGGAGGACACAGTGAGACTCCCTCTCAAAAAATTAAATTAAATAAAATAAAACAGAGTATAAAAGGTTTGCTTACTCTCTCTTCTTCACATCTCATTGTAGAATGGAGGAAGAAAGTCAATGTAAAAAAAGAATGTATGATCAGACTTCCTAAATGAATGTTTTCTCTTTTTATTGAGTACTAGGTTTTTGGTGTCACAAGCTAGTTTCTTCATTAGCTTACAGGAATCAAATCAATATGGAACAAATGATAATTTGTATCTGTCCCATGTGTTTCTGCACAATTTCACCCAGTTTTTAGTAAGTGGCTACAGTGTTATCACTATTTGCATTTTGCCAGATCACAGGATCGGATTGTCTGAATGTATTTTGGTGTATCCCAACTCAACCACCTGTACCAATCCAACGGCTTTTGACCTCAGGTAAGTGCAGGAC